TTTTTTTTATTATAAATTGACAATTTATAATTGTATGTATTTACAGGGTGCAAAGTGATTTTATAATTTATGAATACAATGTGTGATAATTAAATCAAGGTAATTAACATATAATTCACCTAAAATATTTATAATGTTTTGTGGTAAGAACATTCGAAATTTATTCTCTTAGCAATTTTGAAATGCTCAATACACTATTATTAACTATCTTCACCATGCTGGTCAATAGATCTCAAAAAAACCCTTATTCCTTCTGTTTGAGATTTTATACCCTTTGACTATGATCTCTCCATTTCTCCACTATCCAGCGTCTGGTAATCACCATTCTACTCTCTGGTTCTATGAGTCTGATTGTTTTAGATTCCACATACAAGTGAGAACATTTGGTAAATTTGTCTATCTGTGCCTGTCTTATTTTGCTTAGCATAATGTCCTGTAATTCCATTCATGTCTCAAATGATGGGATTTCCTTCTTTTTAAATTATACTATTATGCATATATACCACATTTTCTTTATTCATTCATCTGTTTATGGACACTTAGGTTGATTCTGAAACTTGACCACTGTGAATAGTGCTACAATGAACATGGGAGTGTGAATATCTCTTTAACATATTGATTTAAAACATTTTGGGTAAGTACCTAGAAGTTGGACTGCTCAATAATATGGTAATTCTATTTTTAGTTTTTTGAGGAATCTCCATAGTGTTTCCCATAATGGCTGTACTAATTTACATTCACACCAACAGTGTACTAAAGTTCCCTTTTCTTCACATCACCATCAACACTTGCTATCTTTTTGATAACAGCCATTCTGACAGGTGTGAGATGATATCTCATTGTGGTTGTAATTTGTATTTCCTTAATGATTAGTGATGTTGAGCATTTTTTCATATATGTGTTGGCCATCAACACATATTATTGAATGCCAACTCTGGGCTAGGCAGGCATTGTGCATTGTTATAGATGTCTACTAGGAAATAGTTTTCTAGCTCAGTGACCTCTTTTCACTGTGAATAACTATTCTTATATATGTATATTTAGTTATTTATAAATTATTTCCTCAAACTATCCTATGGTATAATATCCATTATAAAATATTCACAATAATTTTAAAAAGAATTTAAAAGATGAAGTATAAAATAAAAAAATATTTTAACTAATTATTTGATTTATTAATAATATATAAAAATCCATTTGATCTCATTATAAATAATATTGAGAAGGAGAAATGTTATTGAATATGCCTAATTTCTTTTAAAGATCTTCATGATGTACCATTTTGAAGACCTGGGCTTAACTTCAATTGATTTCAGTACTTTGAATACATGTTATAGCTGAAAAAGATACCACGCAAACATATTTGGACCCAAATAAAAATAGTATAATTTTGACTGTGCTAAATAAATGACAAAAATCACTAAAATTTTTTTCATCAGTTAACACAAAGTGTTTATTTTTAAATTTGTCTGGTAAATTTCCCTCTTACTGACATCAACTAGTTTTGCAAACATCATTGAAAGTGTTGTCTTTTTATATTTTTAACACATTGAATTAAAATTACTCGAACTCTTTATTTGGAAAATTTTTAGACAAGCTAAAAAATTCTGTTTTCATGTAAGACTGTGAAGATAGGTAACACATACCTATATTGTTGTTAGCAACAATATCACATTGTGAAAAGATTACTAAATGTTCATTAAACTTCCACTTTTTAAATGTTCCCCCCATGGCATGAATTTCTAAAAGCATCATTAAAATGTTATCTCTACCTTGATGGGCCGGATTAAAATTGTGTTTAT